TATACAGTCAGAAATGAAATGTATGAGTATATCGTTGAATTTCCTTATTGCATTTAGTAATTATTCTTGAGACAATCTTGTCAATTATTCTTGTTTAAAACATTATTTCATATTTATTCGTATTAAAGTAACATATTTGCCTCTCTTACATTACCTATTTTCATGAGAGTTACTAAAAGGTATAACTTTATAGTAGCTTCTTAAGTTTATCTATTTAAAAATATTTTTAAAAATAATAAAAATAATAAGCAGAATTATACTTATATAAAAAATATAAAAATACTCATATCTTTTTATTCGCCTTATTTTATAAAAAAATATATTATTACGAAATTGCTGCTTATAATTTAAAATAATAGGATGGAATTTAGCATTATAAATAATGGAATAAATTAAATATTTGACAATTAACTTTTTGCGAGGTTAATTGTGACCTATAAATACGAGATTTTAAATTTAAATTATTACAAATTACACACAAAGTCGGTTAACGTTTTAAATTCTTTACAGCTAAAGACTCCCATCAACAAACAGTCTATTACAAATGCAACTTGTTATCGTTCTGGCCGCAAAAATATAAATATCGCCTATCTCCCATTATGATCACAAAAATATCTAATGAAATGTGATACATTCATAATGAACCATTACTAACCCAGCATTGTTCAGACTACTCATTAGAAGTCATGAGTTATAAATCTATACTAATATTATAAAGATGTAGAGTTTGTGACGTTGTAGGGGGTAATATCTGGATCTACTGAACCGATTTAGATGAAATTTGGTAAGAAGATAATTTGAGACCCTGGAAAGGACATAGAGACTATTTATCCCGGAAATCATCGCGTAAGGGGGTGAAAATGGAGATGAAAGTTTGTATGGGGAATCAAGCTCGGGACAAACCCAAGCGAAGCGATGGTGAGTCGCTAGTACTAATATAAAATTATATCTAACTTAGATACGTAATAGTTTATATTATATTAGATTATAGAGTCACTTATAGAATCTAACATGCAAATTTACAATTAAAACTATGTTTGATAATACGAAATAGTACGGAAAACCTACTAGAAGTTGTACGAAAATATATTTTATTCCTATACAAAAATAGTTATTATTAAAATTTAAGAGTAGGTATAGGTCTGCAACTTTTATACGAAATATTTTTCAATTAAATAAATAATTAACAAGTTGAAGTTAGTTAAGCTTATTATTATATGAACTTTAAAGTGCCTGGCCGAGGTTAAGGTTCACGGAATGGGTCTGTGAATGATGAATAAATATTGGTTTGTCGATACCTGTGTACCTTTGATACTCGCTAGTCGCTAGTTGTGTTTAAGTTAGCAAATTCGCATACGTTCGAAAATTTCAGCTTAGCTAAGATTATTGTATGTTCATCTGGTTCTCTAATACTTTTAACAATTTTCTTATTGACTTATTTATCGAAAAAATGTTAAATGTATTAAATTATGAAATAAATGAACGAGCACAACATTGGAACACGAGCCGGACTCCTTTATCGGCAACGTTGCAATTTAACTTTCAAGGTTGGGACCGAGTATCGTGTAATATACACTCTATAATCAAGCAATTAGGAACCACTAAATTATATACAGCCGCACACTAGGGACGACAGTATATTTTGCCTAGTACGTAGAACTCTATCAGTGTCTTACCTAAGCGCTGTCTCAAATATCTCCCCACACTAATGAAGTTCAAGTTTATCGTGAAGTAATGAGTAAGCATGTTACTTCTTGGTATATTGACCCGAAGAAAGAAAGGGGTATTAAAGCTAAATTAACTTTCGAATGACATTTAAACAAAGGATTTAGCACATACAATGTTGAATGTACCTACTTAAATTACAAGCGATGTAGGGCACCGCCGGATGTTATTAATAATAAACTCAGACAAAAATAGATTTTGATACTTCGTCCTTTACGATATATTCAAACTTCATGTGTGGTTTGATAGAGGAATACAAAAATATTTATATATTTGTGGATTGTCATAGATTATATAAACCTCGTAATCTGGGCATTAAAATATACCTTTAAACTTTTAATTTTGCTTGTATACTAGTATGAGAAGGTAATACAAGTCAACAAAGATAAAATGATAGTTGTACTTACCTATACAAATTACTTAAAAAAAGTCAACGTTATATCGTCATAATTTCAAAGTAATTTAATTAAAAATTTCTACATATTCCAGTTGGGTATAGTATTTTCCGTTCATATTTTATGTTTATGTTTCTTTCCAACGATATGGACTATTACACAGCATCGAGATTAAGCCAAATTTTATATATTTGATAGAAGTAATAATAATAATGCTTGCCACTTTCGTGAACCAAATCCCCGATCCCCGTATTGTGTCTGACGGATATTCGTCTGATTTGCTCTACAGTAGGTAGATTAAGTCGGATGAATATCCGTTTGCAAAAAATATCGTCAGTGCCTATCTTTTTCAGAATTTTATGAAAAAAATACCCCGTTTATTAAATATCGAACACCATGTGATACAGGACGCGATTAAAGTCACCTGGCAGGCGAATATTGACACGACGTATTTCAATTTTGTTGGTCCAAGTAATCAATATCTTCACATCCTATTTAATAGTTAATGTACGAGAAAATGCAAACGTTTGTTTGTTCGTATCTTTCACCCAGAAATGGAGTAATTGACTGTGATATTTTTTTATTGTAAACTAGCTCTCTATATAGTTTACGTTTTGAAGACTGAAGTAGACTATTTTTCACCCGGTACATGAAGCCATGTTTAATAAAATGGCATGAATGTCTAATGATCCGAACCTAAGTTAAAAGGATAATTTTTCTACAAGCAACATTATTTATAAATAATTAGTGACGTAAAACATATCTAATATAATATATTTAAACGAGCAATTCTTGTATATTTATTTATTTATACCGGCGATCTCGGAAACGGTTCTAACGATTTCGCTGGAATTTGGTATGTGGGGATTTTCAGGGGCGAAAAATCGATCTAGATTAGTCTTATGTCTGAAAAAACTGTTTTCGAGTTTTCATGCGGTTTTTTTTTCGCATTATTCCACGCAAAATATATGGATGCTAATTTCGCATGCTCGGACATAATCATCGTGGTCAAGCGGAAAAAGCGCAAGATTGACAATCACAGGTGTCCGGGTTCGAAACCCGGTCTGATACAAAGTTTTTACTTTTTTCTATTTATTCAAGTATTAACTTTAAAAAAAAACTGTACCTTTGGCCAAAAGCTCCGAGCGGAGCTCGGTCGCCCAGGTACTTAAATATGAATAAACATTATTATGTATAATATTCAAATAATTTCGCAAGATCGTTGTTGATGTCACTCTAGATTCGTTCCTGATATGAGTATGAAACAGGAAGTATTTCACGAATTATTATTATCAAACTAGTGCTCCTTGATGGCTCAAAAATATCTTATAAACAAAAAAACAGGTTACGTTCTACTTGATTAGTTGTCGTAGCCAATTTAAATGTAAACTTGTAAAAAACACTCTTTACATATATTTAAATACCTACAATCTGATTGCTAGTTACGTTTTCGTTGCTAAATTTTAGTTTCTTTACAATAAAAACTTGGTACGAGTTTTATTACAAAATTACTTCGTCCAACTTTTTGGGTTAATTCTCCACGTTTCGCTAACCTCGTTGATTTGCAAATGACATAATATATACAGTTTGTAAGTTATTTTAGAATTTTCCACCGCGACGGTGTCCATTTGTTTCGTTATACCAATAACACACGTTATATTAAGCAAATTGTATGATACATAGCATGTCTATTAAGTATTCGTGAAGTATGCCTTTTAAAACTGGTTGTGTTTTAAAATGCGACAGGTGACTTACAACCGGTACTCTAGTTATGTCTTCAACTGCTGGATTAAGATTAAAACAAAACGCATTAGTATGCACAGGTTATAAACAAAGTATATGGGCTATAATCATATCGTACTGAGGCACTTAGGATATGATGTATGTTTAATAGAATAAAGTAGCGAGTCCTTTTCGCCTGAACAAAACCAGGCCTAGTTATACTTATTATATATACTCATTAAAATAAAAAGTTCTTTGTATGTTAGTTTGTACTAGTGATGACGACTAACAGGTTAAACTAAAAAAGGAAAATCATTGCTTTCAGATACAGTTTCAGAAAAAAAAATCCACATACATATATATACATACGATACAAATTTACTATTGTTTTAGGGTATAATTTACCAAGTAACTATAAATTATGCCCTGAAATACCTAATGCCTTTCCAAGTAAAAGCTGCACTAATTTCAAAATCAGTTAAAAGAAGTTTGATCACTTTTAGATTACTCTAAAGTCTAAAGTTATTAATTTTTCTTAAAAAAATATTGTAATTAATTAAGAAATGTATAGACTAACACAACTAACGCGTTGTGTGGTTACGACAGAGATGATTCACATTTAGGTTTGTATCATATTGTTCAGTTCCAGTAAATAATTCTTATAGAGATGAATAAATTCAACTCAGACGTGCACTTGTATTTACAGAAATATAATAAATATTTTATAAATTATTATTAATCGTATTAAGATTAAAATTAGCTTTAAAGCCTAATAGTTAAGGATAAGGAAAACTGAAAACAAGTTGTTTCCCCTTTTAAATATCCAGTCCAGCAACCGGTTATAATATCTTCTATATGTCGTCAGCGGATCGTTATTTTGAGTTTGTCATGCCATGTCCTGGACATTTAATGAAATGGCAGCTCCCCTTATCAGCATAACTAACTCTGTCATATCGCTTAAAGATGGACATTTGACGATTTGCCAGCTCGTATGTACGTATAGTCGTAAATAGTATGTCCATTATGTCCTTTTTATTTCGGTTTCTCTAAATCTGATCGTATAATCTAAATCTGAAAGGAAAAATTATGAGTAGATAAGTTAGAAAAATTACACTGTAAAAATTATACTTTTAGATGTTTCTAGAAGTTTACTTTTAAATGTGTCTTAAGAGGCGGAGTCCACAACTAAGAGCTGTGGACTCTGTGCATGTTACCAAACGACCGGACTCCATTAAGTCCGTAAAATCTAAAAAAGAGGTATATGTTTGCGCGTCAGAACCTTCAGGACAGATCTCCGTTAATCGCTATTTCTTATCCTTTGCTAGTCTAAAACACCTTCTCAAAATAAGAATGATTATTAGTTTTTTTGCAAACTGACCGACACTTCGTAGTCCTCTCCGGTACGACTTAGATTAGAACTTGTTTATATTTACTTACCAATATATTACCTAATATATTAAATTAAATATTTAATTCTTTGGCAATTGGTTTTTCATAAAATGAGATCGGTAAACCAGATAAAAAACAAGAGATGCTGATTAGTGTAATACTTTAGACGCATGTAGATAATAATAAAATTTAATTACCTACATTGTAATTTATATTTATTGAAGCCGTCAGTTAGTTTCACGGTTATGACTGCAATCTAAATAATGTAACAAAAAATCTTAATACTAAATTGAAAAATATAAAAAAAAAATCATGGTCGGAAAATTCTAGTGATGCTAAGGCAAATCCTTGAAACACAATCATTGTGGGCACATGATTGAATCTGCTTCCTTGTTTTTTATATAGACGCAGTAATGGATTTTACATATGGAGCATCATCGAATTAATAACACGTCTATGACTACCACTTCATCACGTCACGTATCTCCCTCTTCATCTTCTTGTAACATTTATCGTTTTATAGTATAAGTTATTTTTACTGTTGAGAAATATAACTAAACAAATTCAGTTTTATAACGTACTCATTATTAATATTTTATTAATTTATTTAAAAATTCTTAGATTTTTACAAAAAAAATCGTCTAAAAAATATAAATTATTTATTTTAATTAAAATAAATTATCTTAAATTGTTTGAATAATAAAATCATATAACTTTGTTTTTCTTAGAGATGAACATAATTAAATGTAAATGTGCATAATGATTCGACATTTTATTATTCCTGACTCAATATGATTCTTGATATATGAAAAATAAAAGAGACTTTTGTTAACAAAGTACCTAATAGTTTATGTTAATTAAAAAAATGTAATAAACTTAAATAAGTTATTTTAAAACACACTTAGGTATTTTGCTTGAGTTACATACAAAATAGCCAAGGTAACTACTGAGCTAAGCATATTTCATTGGTAATGCATAAAAGTAAATTAACTCGTCAACATATATCTTCCTTGATATATTTCTAGGAACTGAGAGCTGTACCGGTTGCGAAGTAGCAAATAAACAATTTAATGCTTTAAGTAAGTATACAATTACCTATAAAATATACATTCCTTTACCATAATTTCCTTGTGTGTCAAGTTTGTAGTGCGTATGAAACGCTGGGTTGAGGAAGCTAAAAAACTTGCTTCAGCTTACGATTTACAACTAGGTATAGTAAAAAAAAGATTTTTTTAACAACCTTTAACAATTTGGACAATATTACAGTATAAATAAAAATAAAAATGAATGTTATCACATTTTTCCGAACACTTAGTTGTTCATTTTGAAAAGGTAATTAATACATTTTTTTTTGATGGTAAATATTATTTGTACTATATTTTTAGATTGCGCTAATAATAACATGTAATATTATTAATGTCCTCCTGACCGATTCCGGCCACGGCGGCCAATCTCTTTGAGACTAGCCAACTGCACAGGAGATATTATAGTGCACAAATGCAGACACAAGTGCACTCTCTATTCCTCTCACTCTCATACTCCGGTGGGACGACACGAGACACAACCGGTGAGAGTTAAGGCACAGGACCGACGGATTTACGTGCTCTCCGAGGCACGGGGGTGAAACACCGCCAACTTCCCAACTCCGGGCTTACTATACAGAAAGAATCAATAACTATACTTGGCTCGGCTCGAACCAGGACCTCCGGGTGTGCACTATTGTCTACACCACCGAGGCATTTAATTGCGCTATTGATATTTTAAAACAACAATTCAAATAAATACCATAGCTTCCTTTTATCACTACAAAATTAAAGTCCACCGCCGCGCAGAGTTTGTGTTTCTTCGGGCTAATTTCAGAAACTAATGTACGGAGTTTTCGTATGATTTTCGTCTATAGAAAGAGAAATTACCTATAAAAATTGTATACTATAATTTATAAGCAATTGACAAAAAATAACTACCAGTATGATATTAAATAGTATTTTAGGGTCGTACCCGAGTGAAGCTAGACTAAGCCACTGGTAAATAAATAAGATTCTCAATCTAATACTACGGATATACATCCTGCTTCTCCCGAGATATAAATGTTATCCAAACTCTATGTATTCATAGAATAATAAATCGATGAAGTTATACTTATATACCATTAAGTCTGTCATTCACTAAAATCATATATGGCTAAATAAAAAGATAAAATTGAAACTAGTCCTTTTTAAAATGACATTCAAACTTGTATAACACAAGGAACACAAACAAAACTTATTTATGATCAAGAATTTCCTTGAAATAAAATGTTATTTCATATCTCTGTATTACCTAAAAGTTTTATTTTTATTTTGCCTCCAATTAGCAGTCAGAAACCTCTGAAACATATAGACTACAACAACCAGAGAGTTGCTCCTACGGTCCACTCTGGCTTAAGAGAAGTACAAAGAGCAACCCACCGCCGCTGTATCTCTTAGCTTTACGTCCCACAGTACGTGAAGAACACACCTCAAGGATAAGGTTTATTCCCTGGAATAACGACAAGTGGATCAAATTATAGAATTTAATTTGAGTAGATGAATGAGAATAATATACATTAATATATGTATTACAAAGACTGGGCCACTTCTGATAGCGTAGCGCATGCAGCTGGATCAATCACCTATGAACTGATCCATAAATCGGTCACGCAATATAATCGCAATGCATAACTAATATAACGTATACACCTCGATATTGCATATAAAATTACATACACTCGTTACGTAAATGCACGCTAGTCACGTTTTTTCTTAGGCATGAATTAGTGTTAAAAAAGATCCATACTTAACGTAGGAAATTATTTTCTTAGAAGGTGAAAGATTGTATCTTGTACATAGCAGAAGTACGTATCTCAGTCTACGTTCTACTATACACCATACATATTTTAAATCAACCATTAAGGTAAGCTGTTTTATTTTGTAAGCATAGTTAATATAGCAAAATTAATAAACCTGTTTTCATAATAAGAAGTTGTCTTAAAATTCATACATATCTGTCCATTAATAAAATTGAAATGCCACACAAAAAAATATATAAACTAGTCGTTTTTATAGGTGTCTATTTAGAGAGAAATAAAATCAATGAGTAGTAGAAACGTTCTGGTTTTTAATGCTAAATGCGAACTCATTATAGAATGTAAAAAATAAATTTGCGTATAATCTTGTATGTATCTGTGGTCGAGGTGGCAAACTTCGTCGATGCTTTGAGAGACTGGTTCTCTGTCCGTATCGCCCGTAAGTCTGGCTCGCCCAGTGCTTTGTAAAAAGTGAAGTACAATAAAAAACTAAATCGATTACGTGCGAATCGCCTGCATACTGCTAGGGTTCGGTGGAAACTAGTCAAGATATATCTAGTTTTTTTTAATATTAATATAAATTATTATTATTTCAATATAAAAATATTTATTTTCTGCTTAATTCGATATTGTATATGTTAATTAAAATACGACGAACGAAAGAATACGACGACACGTTTGGCTCAATTTTTAGCGACTCTACTTGCTGCAGTGGTCGCGGGTTCGAGTCCCGTTGGGGGCATTCATTTGTGTGATGAGCACGAATGTTTCTACTCTAGTCATGGGTGTTTATATTTATATGTATTTAAAGTTATATATGTGTAGTGTATCAACTGTCTGGTATCCATAACATAGGCTTCGTAGCTTACCATGGAACTAGTTGGTGATGTGTGTTAATGTTAATTTAATTTATCAAAATTTAAAATTGTTAAATAAATTAATGCATGCTGTATCCACTTTAAAAGGTAATGCATTTAGGATTAAGTTAAATTGTGTAATTAATTTAAAAAATTTTCAATGTAATTATCACTAGTGGATCCAAATAAATAAATAAAAATGTTCTAACATATTTAATAGGTATTTATTTAAAATTTGAAAATGAAGTTGTACATTTTAAGTTGAAGTGTTTTAGTAACACTTTTTGTTAAATTGATTGTCTTTTTATTGTCAAGTACATATCAAATCTAATTAATCCAAGTACTTATGTACACACATGTAGAAGCAAAACATTTAGTAGTAGTTTGTATAACAATCACACTTCTTAGATGCTTAATTATGGCACAATGAAGACACTATAGATTAACACCCACGCTATAAAATCGTTGAGTTAGCTGCTTAAGAGGCCTTTGTTTTCCTGTTTCTTTGAGCTTTTTTTAAAAAAAAACATTAATATGGTGGTTAAATGTTAAAATAAAATTAGAAACACAGTAATCCGCAAAAATCAATTTAAAATTGGCTTTTCCATATATTTTTATTTCTTACATATATGTTATTGACATTTATACAATATGGCTAACTATAGAAATCATAATAACCCCTTATAATCTTTACTCTCTAATAACAAATAGTATAAAACAATTTTTTCCCAATATAGCTATAAGTTATCTCTATTTCGAATTTCGCTCAACAGAATTAAGCCGTTACACCGTGTATAGAAACAAACACACATATTTTAAATCTTTCACATTTATAATTCTAAGATTAACAATGTATGTTTGCAGTTGGTTTGTTTTTGTAGGTTGTCTTTCTTTAAAGCAGAGTGATTAACGGATCGACGTAATATTTCTCATTCGTCGAGGAGATTATTTATGTTTTTAAAAAGAAGTTTCAGGTTATTATACAGGATAAGTAAAGGAAGGGAAAGCACGACATTAGTGCCACGTTGTTTTCTAGATAGTAATCAATTAAAATTCATAAATAAGCTTTCTGCAAAATAATATCATTTGTTTATATTTATAGAGAATATTTTTTACGTGTCCCAGGAATGCACTTAAAAAGGAATTGAATTTGAATGTTCAGTTCTAAAAAGGCTAAGGGTAATATAATAAGGGTTGTTAAAATTAGTAGGTATTAAAAAAAAGAGATAAGAACCCTCTAACTGAACATAAAAACGAGCAAAGTCACTCAATAGGTTACCCATATTATTAAACTGTCGACTTATATAAACAATATAATCACGAACTAAAATTATCTTATGCAAAGTGAGCTCACACCAATGATTTATTGTAGCAAGGGCGATCTCGTTTAATGCAAACTGGTCCCTACTTGACTATATTTATCCTTAACAATTACCGGCAAAATTGCATTTGTAATAAGTGTAGAAGTTGTGCAGCTACGTGATTTTTAAAAGTGCTAGCGGAGTATGACTCTCGTGCTTTATCTTTTTTTATATCTCACCTCTATGATTAATCATTAAAAAAGAGTCAAAAGAAGTTGTAAAAGTGCATCTATGATATTGCAAAAAATATTTTGTATGAATAGAGATACATGTGACATGATTCATGAGATGATGAACATTGTTTGATTACTTCTGCAGTTACACACTTATATAAACTTCTTTGTTTCTTTTTCAAATGGATATTCAAAATCAAAAAAATCGATAAGTCGTACATAATGACAAAATCCTATGAAAATTTATATCTGTAGTAAATAACAACAAAAAGAAAAGCTTAGCTTATAATTTATAGCTATGCATTATTTATTATAAAAGTAATAAACAGAACATCTTCAATCTACGAGTATACTGATGATAAGCATATATGAGAGAATCGAGTGACAACTGCGACGCTACATGTCGTAGCCAGATTGGGACAAACATCAATTAACAAACTTACGATTGTTAATATATGATTAAATAATAAAATTAAAATAATATACATATTAGGCATGACGGTGCTTTTTCTTAATCTTCATTGATTATTTGATTATTCAAACATTTTTTATTATATATATATCTTATTCTCATAGGCCTGAGTTGCTACCTGTTTCATATTCTGATTCCTAATCATAGATTACTTATACATTGCAAACAGCGTGCTTGAGATCTTATCAAGAAAGTTCCACACAGAACAATGTATTGAATGTTTGAAATGAAAGAAGTAATTTTTCATATTACATTATACCGAGAATATAACGCGAGATACATATATTTTCTCTTAAAAATAGAATAAAAACTAAATATAAGTAAATTATTAATATGATATTAGTGGTAGGTATGTTAGATCATTAAGTTATGTATATAGTATAAGTTTTGGTAAAATGCTGTTAAATATTCTCGTGTAACAAAAATATTAGCACATAGAACATAGTTACACATACATACATACAGATTATACATAGTTTTTTGTTAAAATAATTTGAACAGCCGAATTTTTAAAGGTTTCGCAAAATTTGTCGATAACAATATCCCCACACGTGTTCTTAATATCATATTCTATGCTCGATGCGGGCGCATGATTGCAATGACAAAGCATTATTAAAATAAATTTAGTTAAATTTATGATAATTAATATTTATTATTACTAGCGAATTACGTCTTTGTGTAGCCGCGGCGTCAAAAACCGGTACTACAGAGGTGTGGACTGCGAGATTCTGTTTCTTGCAAAAACTCTTATACAATAAATTACATCACAGTAATCAGAATCACATATTGTGGCGCCAAAAAGTGTTAGCAAAAACCTAGTATATTTATCCAGTTATTATTTTCATCACCTACTTTATATTTTCAATATCATTAAGTGTATTTCTTTAATATTTAAGTTGGAACTAAACTTTGAAAGAGCATTTGACTCGATTTGAATGCCAAATTTTATTACGGAGTTTAATTGACTTTTCGAAGCCAGTTTATTTGGGTATTTTTTTATCTTCTTCATAAAATATTTATGGTATACATTCTTATACAAAATATTCATGATAACAAAGACAACACTTAATACATATAATTTAATTTTGTTGTTAATGGCTTTTAAGTGTGCCATTTGAGCACAGTAGACCTATCGACTACGTCCGTGTCTTTAGAATAGGAAGACGATGAATTTATGGTAGTACATAAATTTACTTTATTTTGTCAATAAATTATATAATGACTAGGAAACGATCTAACATTGTAGATCTCCTATAATACTTATGTTTTTACAAGCAATCTTAGTAAATTATTGATTCTAATTGATTTTTTAAATGGCGTTTGAAAATCGGCACTTAAAATAGTTATGGCTTACAATATTTTTATTTTATTTTACGCTATAATTAGAATCTTTAAGTTATTATAATAAATTTTCGGTATCCTCTTGGAATTTTTTTAATTTGGAATTTTATACAAATAAAAATAATTTTAGTTACACTTCTCTTATGTACATTGTTTAAAGTCACTATCGATTACTGCGATGCTTAGCAATTCGTTGATCACATAAGAGTGTTCAAACAAAGGGTTTCCCCACTTTCCGTCCACATGTCACCAAACGAAACTTAGACCTTGACTTTGTCCCCATTTCCTCATGCGGTTACGTCAACGACGTAACGAAGACACGTTTCATCGCCTTACAAAACTATGTACTGACATGTTGTGACTACGCACGTGCTTGGATAACAAAAATGACTTGCCACTGTTACCTTACTGACCATTATCTTTAAATTATTTACGAAATGTTTTGTTTAACATTTATTTTATGTACCTTTACGATTTTTTTTACGGACTCAAGAAAAAGTATATTTCCATCTTATTT